AAAATTATACTCTGAGAATTATAAAAACAATTTTCGTTACAACGCAGAATCGAGAGCGACGTAAAGTCTTTTTTTTCTTTTTGTTCGGGAGAATGTTGTTTTCCAAAGGAAGGAAAGTGCATTGCATGGATGTGACATTGTACATTTCGCTCGTGTTTGTTGTTGGACTCTTGGATGATGGAAATTATGTACATTGAGTGTTATCTTTCTAGAACGTGCTTTTTATTCATAAAACTGATAGTAAGTACTACATACATACATACATACATACATACATATGTATTCCCTCTGAGCTTTTGTACTCATTTACTTTCCTTGCTGTGAGAGAATTCATTCTGTATATTTTTTTATGTATTTCCTTCCGTTATGCTTTGCATTTTAAAATTGTATCCTACTTTTTACATGTGTGAATTGCTGAAAAAAATTATGTATATTACTGTCGTTTACGATTCGCTCGTTGAGTTCTAAAACATTCTTAAATTAAGCTTTCAAGTTCGCTTGCAAAACTTTGAATCCTTAAAAATTGATTAGAATTTGATAAAATATTTCAAAACTTCGAATCTTTGAAAATTGGCTCGAATTTGACAAAATCTTTAAGAAATTTGAATCTACAAAAATTGATTTGAATCTGACAACATCCTTAAAAACTTTAAATTTTTAAAAATTGATTAGAATTTTACATAATCCTTAAAATTTTTAAATCTTCATAAATTGATTAGAATTTGACAAAATCCTTAAAAGCTTTGAATCTTCAAAAATTTATTAGAATTTGACAAAATCCTTAAAAACTTTGAATCTTCAAAAATTGATTAGAATTTGACAAAATTCTTAAAAGCTTTGAATCGTCAAAAGTTGATCTGAATTTGACAAAATCTTTAAAAATTTTGAATCTTCAAAAATTGATTTGAATTTGACAAAATCCTTAAAAACTTTGAATCTTCAAAAATTGATCTGAATTTGACAAAATCTTTAAAAAATTTGAATCTCAAAAATTGATTTGAATTTGACAAAATCCTTAAAAACTTTGAATCTTCAAAAATTGATTAGAATTTGACAAAATCCTTAAAAATTTTGAATCTTCAAAAATTGATCTGAATTTGACAAAGTTCTTAAAATTTTGAATCTTCAAAAATTGATTAGAATTTTACAGAATCCTTAAAAGATTTGAATCTTCAAAAATTGATTAGAATTTGACAAAATTCTTAAAAACTTTGAATCTTCAAAAATTGATCTGAATTTGACAAAATCTTTAAAAATTTTGAATCTCAAAAATTGATTTGAATTTGACAAAATCCTTAAAAACTTTGAATCTTGAAAAATTGATCTGAATTTGACAAAATCTTTAAAAATTTTGAATCTCAAAAATTGATTTGCATTTGACAAAATCCTTAAAAACTTTGAATCTTCAAAAATTGATCTGAATTTGACAAAATCTTTAAAAATTTTGAATCTTCCAAAATTGATCTGAATTTGACAAAGTTCTTAAAATTTTGAATCTTCAAAAATTGATTAGAATTTTACTTAATCCTTAAAAGATTTGAATCTTCAAAAATTGATTAGAATTTGACAAAATTCTTAAAAAATTTGAATCTTCAAAAATTGATTTGAATTCGAAAACATCCTGAAAAACTTTGAATCGTCAAAAGTTGATCTGAATTTGACAAAATCTTTAAAAATTTTGAATCTTCAAAAATTGATTTGAATTTGACAAAATCCTTAAAAACTTTGAATCTTCAAAAATTAATCTGAATTTGACAAAATCTTTAAAAATTTTGAATCTCAAAAATTGATTTGAATTTGACAAAATCCTTAAAAACTTTGAATCTTCAAAAATTGATCTGAATTTGACAAAATCTTTAAAAATTTTGAATCTTCAAAAATTGATCTGAATTTGACAAAGTTCTTAAAATTTTGAATCTTCAAAAATTGATTAGAATTTTACAGAATCCTTAAAAGATTTGAATCTTCGAAAATTGATTAGAATTTGACAAAATTCTTAAAAACTTTGAATCTTCAAAAATTGATTTGAATTCGAAAACATCCTGAAAAACTTTGAATCGTCAAAAGTTGATCTGAATTTGACAAAATCTTTAAAAATTTTGAATCTTCAATAATTGATTTGAATTTGACAAAATCCTTAAAAACTTTGAATCTTCAAAAATTGATCTGAATTTGACAAAATCTTTAAAAAATTTGAATCTCAAAAATTGATTTGAATTTGACAAAATCCTTAAAAACTTTGAATCTTCAAAAATTGATCTGAATTTGACAAAATATTTAAAAATTTTGAATCTTCAAAAATTGATCTGAACTTGACAAAATCCTTAAAAACTTTGAATCTTTAAAAATTTCATTGTCATCTTGCTGTAAAAAATTATTCAATAACTGGAAGTTAAACAAAAATTCAACAGATTTTTTTTTCAAATTCATTTTAAAACATTTTTATTCAAAAGTTCATTTTTTTATCCAATTTTTTGTCTTTTGTACTTAGATGAAATAATATATAAAAAAAAATTAACAAAAAAAAAACAACTCTTGGGACACTGGGAAAATTGTACAATAATAAATAAGGTTCTCATTTAACTTCTAATTTTCAAGAGAGTAAATTATAAATAATTGCCATACCTTAAAAAAATTCATTATAAAAAGATCTTAAATTATTACGTACACAATCTTATATATGCTATTTTGTATGTATGCTTAGCACGCATTATGAAATGGAAAATTTTGAAATCATAAAACTTTATGAAGAGAGTCATAACTTTTTATTTGTGCAATATTTACGAAACTTTGTGTATTCAAAGAGATTAATAGAAAGAGAATTAGAGAGTTTTATTTGCTTAATTGAATTGAATTGAATTGTACGTATAAAATGAGTCTTATCTGATCTTAATATCCTTAAGTATTTTTAAAAATTGAGATTGATTAAATTAACGATCATTTTTTGAATTTTGTATAACTTGAAGTTGTCTCCTTTCATGGATTTTTCGAAAAATTTCAAACTTTTGAAAACCGTTGAATTTTTGAAATTCAATTAACCGTTAAATTTCAAATGATCGCTAAACTAATTTACCTCAATAAAATGTGTAAAAAATCATAAAATCATATCCCGCATTCTGTGTCTAACAAAGAAATTTACATAAAATACCATGATCCCCAAACATTTTTTCCATTAACACATTTTTCACTTAAAATCTAATTAAAATTCAATTTTTTCATCATGCTTTTTTTTAAAAAAAATTTGAGATCTTCACACGGTCTTATATCTCTTAGTAAGTAACATAAAACTAACTTAACAATATTTTAAAAATTATTGAATGCAAAAATCATCATTTACAAATTTCATCAATATTCATTAAATAGAAAGTATGGAGGTTCTCATGTTCAACAGTAAAAATTTAACTGGCATGTTCAACAATTCTCTTGCTTTTGGTGGGAGTCGTTCATAAATGACGTGCAATATTGAATGGGTAGGAGAAAGGATTTTTAAAATGACAATTATATCAACCTTTAAATAAGATTATATAAACGTCATTTATGAATGGCTCCCTTCAATAAGGGTCCTAGGTTTGAATAAACTATAATTTTTAAATCTTATTAAAAACCACATTGGCATGCATATTCGCTTTTATTGGAAAAAATTGACTTTTATCTTTTAAAATCTTAATCTATTCAAACCTAGGACCCCCATTAATTTTCAAAAATATCTTCATACCTTTACAATTTATAGGGAATGGATAATTCTTAGTGTAAGAAAAAAAAGTAATAATAATAAATCACTACAATATCCATATATCATATCATTTCACTTCCTTATCATTTCTCAGGAATATTTTTTTGTTTATGTCTTAAAAATGCGTCTTTGGACTATAGGAGAAGGCAAGCATTAAATTATTTTCTCACAGAAAAATATTATCATTTTGTGATGATTCTCAATATATATAACATAATATAAACATGTGAGTAGTGTAGTTGATTTTTTCTATATAAGTTTGGCACTTAAGTTATACATAGTTCGTCTTAGGTAGAAAGAAGTACGTAATTTATTCTATTATGAGAAGGAATAAAGTTCTAAAAGTGATAGAGAGAGTTGAGTTGAAAAGAAAAAAGATCGAAAATGGCATAAAAGTTCAGCCGGAGAAAAATATTTTTATAAGCTATTCTAGATGTTGATTAAAGTGTTCTTTTTCAAGTGATTCTATAAAAAATTTGTATCATTTTCATTGTTGTAAAAATCTAGATTGAAAATTGATTGGATTTTATTCATTTTAAAGAGAGCAAGAGCTTTACTTGTTTTATCATCAAGAGGTTAGCAAAAAGGCAAAGATTACATTCGGTTCCACTAATTTTTCTTCTATCATTCTCGTTTCTTTTCTTAAAAAATGGATTTTTGTGTAAGGCACTGGATAAAAATAATTCTCCTTTTTCCATCTTCTCATTAGTGCTGCTTTTCATCGGGAATCGGGACATAACATTCTTTTAATTAATAACTGAATTAATTTGGAAATTCTATAAAATTAATTTCTTAATTGAGTTTCACCCAATATATCTATTTCTATAAAGACATAAATTAATTCCAATGTCATAAAATTATATTCAATTCACAACCAATCAACGTTTTTTTTTTTCTTTTTTTAAATAGGTAGGTACTTACATAAAACTTAAAATTAAGGAAAGATTTTATTTTCTTATAAAACAATTTCAATGGAATTTTTTTATATTGAATGAGATTTTTTTTTTCAAAACACTACAATTTCATCATTTTATTGGAATTGTAATGTTTTCTTAAATTTGTAAGGTTTTCAATTCAGACTGCTTTTGAGATTCAGTAGATTTTTAAAATATTCGAAAGGTTTTTTGAAATTGTAGTTTTATAAACCATTTGTAGGGTTTTGATTTTGTATCGTTTTTTGCAAACATTTGAAATGTTTTATACAGATTAAATTATGAAAACATTTGTATGGTTTTGAACTTGTTTCGATTTTATAACATTTGTATGGTTTTGAATTTAATTATTTTTTAAAAACATTTGTATAGTTTTCAACCGGTTTGAATTTCCAAACATTTGTATAATTTGAGGCTACTTATATGGTTTTGAACTAGTGAGATTCTTTAATAATTTGTAATGCTTTCAAAACATTCAAAAGTAAATATAATTCAAATTTCAAAATTTATAACGGGTTTTAACAATTTATTCAAATAAATTTTAACTTCCTCACACAATATAAAGCCATCAAAACCTCATTCAATTTAAAAGCTTCCGCGAATAAGAATTAACAGGAAAATTGTCATGAAAGAAACGATTCAAATCAACATGTTCATCTTAAAATCTAAGAAACATAAATAAGAAAGAAATAAGATAAACAAGACATAAAAAGAAAAACACAACAGTAGATTAGATACGTATCAATTTACAAAAACTTATTATAAGAAAAACATCACGCACCGAGAAAAGTCGTTTCTAATATCAACCAAATTTAATATATATAATAATTAAGTATAGAATAAACAATAAGGAAACGCGTAAGAAAAATAGTAAGTATCAATTTTACCAATTCGGCATGTTTTTTTTGAGGTTGTATAAATAATTTTTAAATTTTTTGTTTTAAAATTCAATTTTAATTTCACGCTTAAGATTAGGGATGTCACTTGGCATAAGTCCACTATTGGCTAAAAAATTCTCTTGAAGTTTAATCCTTAGCTCATTAATATTTTCCAAACTATTCTGATTGAACATGGAAATGTCGTTATTATTAAGATTATTACCGATAATTTTTGTAGCATCTTCAGTTTTCACTTCCGTTTTCACCTTGTCGGTTTTAACTTTCATTGCTCGTCGTTGCGGCTGTTGACCATTATTTTGCTCATATCTTGCATGTGTTCGCATGTGTCTTGTTATCATATCACGACGACATGCAGCATAATTACATTGAGGGCATCGGTATGGTTTTTCACCTAGAAATAAAAGAGAATTAATTGAATGGAATTTTATTTTTTTTTTATTGCGTTATCGTGGATGATAAAGTGGGTAATTAGGTGTCGTTCACTTATGACGTCAATGTAAAATTTGTGCTCTAACCCCCTCTTCTTCCCTCCCTCGGTTCATTTTTAAGTATTACTCGTGTTCTGTGATTCAGGTGTCTTTACACTCGTGTTTTGTGATTCGGGTGTCTTTACATTACACTGATATTTTATGTGCCTGTACACTTGTATTTTTATAGTTAAGGTGCCTTCACACTATTGTTTTGTGATTCAGGTGTCTTCACACTAATGTTTTAATATTCATGTGACTTTACAGTAGTGTTTTAAAGTTCAGTCGTCTTCACACTAGTTTTTTATGATTCAGGTGCGTTCAAACTAATATTTTATGGTTAAGGTGCATTGACACGAGTGTTGCATAATTCAGATGCCTTCACACCAGTGTCATAGTCCACTCGTCTCCTTCTTACTACACCACTGCTTTCTCAGCGATATTTTATGGCTCAAAATACCCTTTCCCATTCTATACATCATAATTGAACAATCCCCACCTATTAGTATGAGATTCAACTAACCTGTATGAGTACGCTGATGCGTAGATAGATGATCACTTCGACTGAATACCTGGCCACAAGTGTTACAATTGTATGGCTAGAATGATTATTAATTAGAGTTCAGTTATAAGTCTTAATGGGGAAAAAAAACTGTACTTTGTAATATTTATTTACCTTAATTCCTGTATGTAATCGCATGTGTCGTGTAAGCATATCAGACCTAGCAAATGATCGATTACAAACTTCACAGACGTAACATTTAGCGGGACTACCTTCTGATGCAGGACTTCGAGTTTTATGACGCGATGCTATGTGCTTCGCAAGACGATCGTTCAATGAAAACATTTGACCACAAATTGGACAAACAAAACAGGAATTAGTTCCAGGTGCGACCTCTTCGACAATCGGCGATACTTTGAGGTCATGATAATACTGAGGTAGTTGATGTGGTGACATTGATTCACTGCCAGGCGTTGTCTGTAAGCTTATACTACAATCTTTCGGAACTTGAATGCCCAATGGCTGTAAAACAGCATTAATCTTCTGTTCCGTTTGTTGAATTAACAATTGTTTCGTTAAACTAGGTGAGCTTGCCGAACTACTCGCTGAGCTGCTCTTTCGTCGCTTAACATTCTTCATTGATAAATCTAATGGATATTCTTGTGGATCTTGTGGATGATTAAAGAAATATCCATTTTGATATTGATATAATGGCTGCTTCTGATGATTATGTCCATAAACCGTATTGTTATTGTTGTGAATTGTCTTTGGCAGATGAAGAAATTGCTGTAACGGTGTTTTACATGTGTCGCGTACATTCTCAATTGTGTCTTCACCATCTATCGTCTCTTCCTTCACTTCAACTTTTACTTTGCCATTTAATAGCATCTTATCTGCCATTTTTGTCGTAGTTGTCGATGTAAAGTTCTCATTATTATTATTGCATTCATATAATGCAGTCGTCGTCGGCGATGAGGGTGTATTTGGAATAAATGGAAATGCGGGATGAATGTGAGGAAGACCCTGACTTAATGCAAACAAATTGCGCAAAATTTCGGCATTTTCCTGAACAGATCGTGCCAGGTTTGTACTATATGTCATCTTATTTCCAATGTCTGCTTTTGTTGATGCCATTAGGACATTGTTATTGATGACACTCTCATGATTATTGTTGTTATTAATGCTAGTTGTGTTATTATTATTAAAATTAGTATTACTGCCAATATTATGATGCATCATGTTAGTGTTGTTATGCAGCTTGTCTAAAACTGCAGACAGTCTTTTCCTTTTCCGTTTTTTGGGATCACTTCGGCTAGCTAATGCGTCATGATGATCATATATGTCTTGATGTGCTGTTGGTGACAACGATGACATTAAATTATCAGCCATCGTCATTATATTCTTTGTTGATTTCTTTTGTCTATGACTTATCGTCGCTTATCCTTATCGTGGTATCGTAATATCTTCTAAATTTGATGATGTATATCCAAAAACCTTTTAATCTTTTTGTCCAGACTCGATCTCACCTCGACAATTTCATTTTAATGCCAACCTTATTTTTTCATCATCATCATCATCTAAAGTGGAAAGACAGAAAAAAAAAACAGAAGTAGAAATGAGTAAAGGAAAGAAAGGTGGAATTAGAAAATATATATACATATATACATAATATATAAAAGTGCCCAAAGGCAAGCGTGTGTGAAATTATTTTAATTCATTTTTTTTTTGCCTTCAACAGTAACAATTTCGTCTCGATTGAAGCATCGAGTCCACATCCGGCGAATTAATGCTGATTTCCAAGATTTCGATGGACCACAAAAAAAATAATGTTAAATACAAGCCAACCTAAATTGAAAAATCCATTCATTCATCCATCTATCCATGAGAGTGTAATATAAATACTGCTTATGAAGCACACACCAGCATGATGATGAAATAACAGAAGACATAGCAGGCATGAGACGAAGAGAAGATGAAGAAAACATTGCATCAAGTCCTCATGTTGGTGATCAGGGGGATAAGGCGCAGTTTTGGAAATGGAACCAATATAAAAGTGGTAAGCTGTGCAGGTTTTGCTTTTTATCAGCTTTCAGAAATTCAAAATTCAACGGTTCACAAAAATTCAAAATTTAACGGATTTCAAAAATTTAAATTCAATCGGTTTTTTAACTTTTTTCTACCCTGTTTTTTCGTTATAAGCTACTACTCGTTACTAAGCTACTAGTGAGCCAAAAAAAAAATCACTTTTTTATTCTTCTAAGCTACTAGCTTATAACGAAAAAACAGGGTACGAATCTTTAATTTCAAAACTGAGCAATATCTACAAGAGAGCTTCCAAGCTAAGCAATAAACATGGAACAAAATACCTCATTGCTCATTTAGCCACCCAATTGTCCAATGTGTATCATTATGCTCTATTTTCCTCAAAAAAAAGCCACAAAAATGAAGAAAAAACAACAAAATAATAATAATAATTGGGCAACATAAGATGAATGAACCGTTTCTAAGATGGAATTAGAGTGTCGCAAAAGCCATTGAAGATATATGTGCGTTCCAATGATCCACATTGTATCGCTTGTAGGTGAAACAATCATCGTGACACATGAGAATCATACAAAAATTACATCAATTATCATCATCATAAAGTGGAAATAATGTCAGAAGATTACCTCTGATCACGTCAAGTTGAAAAATTTATAATAAAAAAAGAGACCAAAAAAATATAACAGCAACAACAACAACATCGCGCATGCGGAATCATTTGGCAAGAGATCCATCCATGGAGAGTGAGAGACAAATATGCGAATAAATAATAATGTGTAAGAAAAAAAAATATATACACAATAAGAAGCAACTCAACACATGAAGGAATATGTGTCTTACGAAAGAAGATTCACACTGAAAAAAAGAACCAAACCAGTGAGCTGTTCTCGCCATTAAATTACAGGCAATATAAAAAAGCAGCAAGAAAAACTAATGACGATCATGCAAAGTATAAAGACTTGGACTTTTTGCTTTAATGTAGCAATTCTTTGCACTCCCTCTCGTTCCATCAAGTTTGCTGTTTTAACCACAAATTTTAATCGAAATGCGGCACAAAAGTCGCTGTGACAAATTTTGAATATTTAATCGATAAACATGATCTGCGGATTAATGTGAGTTTTTTTGGTGGCACAGATAAAGAGTTCAGTTATGTTTTTGTGGGAATTGTCAGGATAGCGTTTAAAGTACGAAGTCTGTGCCTTAAAAATTGAATAGATTGCAAGACTGAACGGTGATTTGAGATTCAAATTTTAACTGTCATTGGCGATTTAAATTTTAGAACCTTACAAATGACAGTTTAAATAAACATTTGTAAGGTTTTGAAGCATTTTTCTAAAAATTCTCATTTAAAAAAACAGTCAAAGCCTATGCGCATCAGTACAACCACAATACACAGCCTTTCGGACTTGTTAATTTATCTCTCCATCTTCTTTCCTCTTTTTCTCTCGGTTGATTGTCTTTAATTCCACCCGCTCCAATGCTTCACATCGTATAGATGACCAGCACATACAACACACGAAGAGTACACAACACAACATATACGGCGATGGAACCATCTACATAATTACAAAATTTCACCTGTTATGACTGTTTGTTCGTTTTTTTTCTTGTTTCTTCTTTTATCGTCTTCTTTTCTTACTGCTTCATGTTCATTTTATTGTTGTTATTTCTTTCTGTCTTATATCTTAAGCAACATGAGCAAGTAGTTACGGTAAATAAAATATACAGCCAGCGATCGCGTTTAGTCGAAAAAAAAAGATTGATGATGAAAATTGCAGGTGGGTGGAGATGTAAAGCGCTTTTTATTTGACATTATTCTTTCTTCTTTATGCATAAATTATGATAATGCAATTGTTAAAGGTGCTTCTTCAAATATCAATTCACCGACATCGACATGTTGGTTGGTTGGTAGTAACAAGTGCATAATATTTAAATAGTGTTAATAAAAAGATATATTGACACAGAGACGGTCACATTGACTGCTTATATGTATACATAATGATGAGAGAGTGCTTTTAAGACAATAACATGAGACTATCTATCTATTCAATCATTTTATTAGGCGCTAGCTAAGCTATCTGACGATGGTTCGATGGAAGATGAAAACTGGTAAATAAAGTAGAATGTAGTGGAAACAAATAAATGAAGTAGAAATGTTTATCTCATTACTGAGTGCCCCGTCGTCATCGTAGTCTCTTTCATGTGTTTGAGTATTGATGGCTTCTTCGGACTTGCTTTTATTATACTCAAAATTCTTACAACAGGTATTTTATATTGAATTTATTGATGCAGATTAGATTTTGTCAATTATCTTGGGAATAGTAAGGTTTACGTAATATGGATCAAGATTGCAACAACTTTACACGGATAGTTTACGTGTAAAGTTGCTTCAATTGCCAGGAATTGACAAGATTCAATGAAAAATTTGAGAAAATTAAAAAGTCAACAAAACAAACAGCTTAATTGAGCTGAATTCTATTTAAAATCTATTTAATCTTTTGAATTAAGCTAGTAAAGTGCTTAGGTTCATTGAATTAGGCTGAATTGAGTCAAAAACTGCTGAATTCAGCTAAATGAAGTGAACATCTATTTAATTCAGCTGAATTAAGTCTAAACTGAATTGATTAATTGATTGACTGAACTGAATCTAGTAAAACTGCTGAATTAAGTAAATAAACGCTGAATTCAGCTGAATAAACTCAAAACCAAACTGAATAACTATTAAATACAGCTGAATTGAACGTAAATTACTGCTGAATAGAGCTGAGCTTCCGCTGAATTGTTAACAAACTCAAATTATCATCCGCTAATAACCGACAAAAAAAAAATCTTGTGTATAGAGAGATAATGATCATGTGCTGTGTATTTATTTATTTTTATTTTTTTCCCCTTTCGTTTCTTGCTGATGCCGAGTATTTCGCTAAGACAAAATCATTAAAAATTATTATGATGGTGATGTGATAGCATTCACTCGATCGCTGACCTGTTTCAAAGCTCTCCTCATTTTGTGGGAGTTTATATAATCTTTCTTGCTTCTTCTTCATAATTTTTTTTTTTTTGAAAATGAACGGAACACGAGAGGAGAAAGAAACATAGAAGAAAAAAAAGTGTATATACATCATACATATATGTGAATGCTTCAAGGATGGTCTAACAACAGGTTGTTTGTGAAAAAAAAAAACTAATAATAATGAAATGAAACGGTTCATGGTCCACTGTTAAGCCCTGATCTTTCTGGTATTTTTTCTTCTTCTTCACAGTCATCAATGATCATCATCATCATCTCCCTCACATCATTAAATCCCAAATAACATTTTTTTTTCGTGTGTCGGATGCTCATGTGTAAGAAGGTTGAAAATTAAGCGCAAAAAAGAGCGAAGCAAGGCAAAAAGAATCACTTCCATGCAACCGATCGACCGACCGATGAGAAAAAAAAAATATCAAGATGAAATAAATATTTTTGAGCATATATCTAAGATTGGGGGTCATTGAGGGGTGATGTGTGGTATATTTTTGGGGGGTATTAAATAGATTGTATTGTACATTGAGAATCTTATCCTAATGGGACAAAAAATGAAGCTATCAAGCATCAAACTCGACGACAGACGTCATTCACAATTGACCCCGTGCAACAAAAAATTTGAATGAATGAATCGGGATGGTTGCATCATTATGAAGGAGGTTAAAATAATGGTAATCGATTGCGAGGTGGATTGTGGAATAATAAAGAATGAAAGAGTTCCAATAAGTGGAGGGAAGAGAAAAAAAAAAATAGCGGAGAGCCACAAATGCATTCTTATTGCTGTTTTCTTCTCCTTAATACGAGCAATATTATTATTATGTATATTCAACTTGCATCTTCTGCGTGTTGCGCATTTTTTTTTTTTGCACCGCGATGGACAGTAACATCTGCAGAAAATTTTAAATTATTGTAATTATAGTCTGTATGGGCCTCTGATCTCATTTCTTCGATATATATCAGTTATTCATTTTCTTATGGCTGTTTTTTACTCTCTATAGCATGAATGGATGGATGTTGGTGGAGAAGAAAAAAAAGGCAGCAAAACGTAAAGAATGCCAGTGAATGGCCAATTTCTGAGAACCACAGTCAATATACATCAACAAATGTTTAACACACATCCAGCCATGCGACGAGAGGAAAAACTACGTGCGTTTCATATTCAATATTATTATTATATGAGAAATAAAGTATAAAAGGTTGAAGCAGCAACAAAACAAAGTTAAGAAATTGAATTCCAATTAAATTACGAGTGAGAAGGATGGAGTTACACATCTTGAGTCTTGCTTGCTATGGGACCGGAGATGGATTGATGGAGGAAGGTGGAGATCTCAAAAAAAAAAAAATACTTTGGTCATTTTGTGTATGTACATACATTCATTATTATTGTGGGAATTGTTGCTTAATGATGTTTAAGATTTGGTAAATTGGGGGAGGTAGCTTGATGGTGATTGATAATCATAGTTAATGTTAACTAAGCGTTTGAAGCATTTGTGGTAGAGGTAAAGCGTTTCTTAGTTGATTATCTGTATTTATTGATTTTAAATGAAATCAGCAACTATTCAGCCAACGCAGCAGTTATTCAGCAAATGCAGCAGTTGTTCAGCGACGATTCAGCTGACTAATATTCAATTCAGGTTTTATTTTGATAATTATGCAGCTTTTTAGCGTTATAAGCAACCATTTAGATGAATAAGCATCTTTTTAACTGCTTCAACTCAACAACTATTCAGCTGAAAGCATTCCTAGAGTAAATCCAACTGATTCGTATAAAACTCAGCATTATTTTATGAATTCAGCTCAGATTCATAAACTTTTAAGGTCCAAATCAGCAACTTTTTTATGAATTCAGCAATTAGTCTAGAATCAACAACTTTTCGGCAGATTCAGCTATTGTTCTGCTGAAATCAGCAACTAATTGCTGGGCTGACTGAAAGATTTCTGAATTCGTTTAATTGTCACATAAATTTGCTGAATAGTTGCAAATTTGTGCTGAATAGTTGCTGAATTCGGTTAATTGAATATGAACTGAGTGAAAAGTTGCTGAATTCGGTTAATTGAATATGAACTGAGTGAAAAGTTGCTGAATTCACTTAGTAATTAATTATTTTGCTGAATTAAATAGCATTAACTTTAAATTAAGTGTCTAATTGCTGAACTCGATAGCTAGTCGCTGAATAGCTACTAAATCGTTCATTAACAATCAAAAAACTATTGCAAAATTTAAGAATATATTTCATAAATCAAGTATGAACAATTTTATACGAATATCAAGGAGGGGGTGTAGAGGGAGCAACTTTCATGGATATCATTGTCATCAACTGACCCCATAAACATATAATTTGCTCTCTTGAGCTATTTTGTAGGTGAATATGTTTCTTCTTTCTACACACAAAAAAAAACTCTCATTAACTCTACACGTTGAATTGATTAACGTTTCCAATTGCGCGAATGTGATGTGGAGAAGGAAAAAAAAATCAGGTGAATTAATTTGATGTTGGCTGATCATCGATTGCGATCAGACATCATCACGGTAAAATGTACACATTTTTTTCCCATTAATCGCGAATGTGTGATTTTTTTTTCTCGCTTTATACGGCCCAACCGTATATATATCTTTTTTCTTCTTTCCTTCATTTGTACACATATTTATATATATATAGAGGTACATATAATATATTATATATGAACAGAATCTCCACAACATTCCTCTATGCACCTTCAACAACAACAGAAATAAAAAAAACACACATCTCTGTCTCTATTGAGAGACAGAGAGAAGATATCGTGAGATGTAATTTTTAATTACCTTCAATTGTTGGAATGTGTTATTTTTATACATAAATTGCTACTCCATTAGAGATTTATTTTGCTTTGGTCATTTGACAGGATAAACTTTTATATTTAGCTGCTATTCCTCTATAATCTTTTTTTTATAGATGCCTTAAATAGCTTTCAGATATTGTTATTATTAATCCTTTTTTTTTAATATTTTTTGAAGTTAGTAGATTAGTTTTTCTTTTTAAATTCAAACTGGACGAAGTTTTTTTTTTAGTAATAATTGCATTCACTTGAGTTGAGGACACTTAATCACGTGGAAAATCAAAACAAAAACTTGACACTTTTCACATTTTCCGTAGATTTTCACTCCTTTTTTAAATTCTTCTTATTTAAATTTCGATACAAAAATAATTTTCGCAATTTTTTAATTCTTTTTTTTTTAGTAACGAGTTTCGATATAACAAATCACTTATGGCTAAGATTACAACAATTAATAGATTAATCTGGTTAATTTTTTTTTTGAAGTAGTTAAATTAATTTGAAAATTGTGTGAATGCAACAAAAATAATAATTATAAAATAAAAATAAAGAGATTTGTTGTTAATCTCTTGATGTTTCGACGCATACTAAATCATATTTTCTTGGTTCTGTTCCTATCCGTATGTGCAGCACGTTTGTGCTTGTATGTTTCGTTCACTTTTTTTTCCTTCCCCTTTTTCGATAATTCTCCCTTTTTACTTCTTTATTTATTACATAGCAACAATGATACAATCAAGCATAAGAAAATTCTTAAGCAATTGTTCATCTTACACAGCTGTCGGGACTTTGGGATGCGTGAAAATTCTTAAAAAATTTAATAAATCATTTTAATTATTCTGTATGTATGGAAACATAGTTTCGTTAATTTTTTTCTTCGTTCGAGGCGCAATTTTTGAAAAAGCTCAGCTATGTTGTAATGTTGCGTAAATGTTGCGTTTGAAAAAATCGCGCGAGTTTAAAGTTTTTGAAAATTTAACAACCTTTGGACACCTTTGAAACTGTCTTTTTTTATGATTTAATAACTGCTTGATTTTTAAGATTTCTTTCTTTCTGCCTTTATTTAAGAATTTTTGTGGTTGTTTTTCAAATTCTTAATGAATTTATCCTCTAATGTGTAAGATTTTGATTCTTAAATTGGCTTAAACTCATGAAATAAGTCAGTCACATGGCTTGACTCGCTCATAATTGTTAATAATTAATTGAAAGCAATTCAAATTTTTTATTTATCTCAATTCAGCAAAATCTTGCATTTATTTAACGGAAATTCAATTTTTGAAGTAAAAACTGTTGAATGGTTTCGTAACACACTTTAAATGCTGTTGTATGGTTTTGCAACAAACTTTAAAATCTGTTATATGGTTTTACATAAAACTTCAAAACTGTTGAATGGTTTCATCATTAATTTAAACGCTGTTATGATGTTTTCAAACATCAAATGCTTTTTTAAGGATTGAAAAGCTTATTTAAAAGTCTGTTGTGTGGTTTTAACAAGTTTTAAACCAAATCAAATTAAAACAAAATTTTAAAAATCCCAAAATCATTCGAAACTTCTAAAAATTATTTCAACTTACAAACTTAAAAAACTATCTCCCATAAAAAAATAGAGCATCAGCATCGCATATTCCGAAAAATTAATATTACGCACAAATCTGTAATATGACGATGCATAAGATTCTTTAAATAACAAAAAAAAAAGCAAACAAGGAGGAGAAAAACAAGTTTTTCGTTCACTATTCTAGTGGGAAACTTGCTGCTTCCTTCCTTCCTTACTCCCCTTCCTTACACAGTAATCATAACACAATAGCTACCTATGCTGTAAGCAGATGTTCATATAAGAAAAACTCATTACAATAAAAATAGCGAAAAAAAATAATGTTTAAATTGCGTAGGGTCCTTACACAAAAGATTCGAGTCGTAAAATAATCCTTAAGAAAGAGCGACGGAGTGCTTTGTGTGTGTGTAGTAATTGTACGTAACTTTAAAAAATAAGGAGGGTTGCTCGCTCAAGATTTTTCACGTATTATTCACCAACCTGGGGTGCTTCTTTTCTTTATACAAAAGAAAAATCGAGTTTCCCACGCTTCATAAGAACCTCCTGTGACTTGAAAACATTTATTAGGGTGGAAATGGCGTGGATTGAACACCTTGAGATTCTTACTCTGTGCAAGCTATTTCGTTAAATTGAACCCATTTTGTGGAAATCTTCTTTATTTAAAGGTATTGTGCATTGAATTTCTTCAAATTTTAAATCTATTTGTTCTACACATAGTATAAGGATCTATAATTAAATAATCTTAAGTCGTACTTATACTTAAATATCTAAATCAGCTTCATCTATGTCGCCTGACTGATTCTTCTTTGCCTTTCGTCCACCATAAACTTTCTTATTGACAACAACTGGTGTTGCAGCCGTTTGATCATTCTCGCCGTGCAGCAATGCATTTCGATAATTATTGAATGGCTGCCAATCATCATTTGATGCTGCATTGTTCATCGAAATTCTTCGTTCCAAGAAGTTTAATCTGTTATTAAATAAAAGTGAATTTTATAAATTTTCTTTTAATTAATTAATTCAAAGAACTTACACGACTTTTTTGTCCTGCTTCAACAACTTATTTGTGAATTCATTCAGAATTTCCAAAAACAGCAAGTTTTGCGGTGGATTAATGTCATCAGCATTTGAATTTAATGCAGCAAATAAAACTCCAGCACGATGTAAAGCTGTGACTGCTTCTCTGTTCTTTATTGCATCTAAACCAAAAGTCAATGCAAATCTTTTACCCAATTCTTTGAGATCCATGAATTCTTGACTTGTTCTCGATATTTTGTCTGGTGCAAAGGAACTTTGTAAATCCTCAAATGCAGTCTTTAAGGACATACACATTGTCATTGTACAGTTTGTCTTGGAATTTTCTCTAGTCTTTCCAAGCGTCGTTTTGATGATGTCACCATAATCATTGTAGAACTGAAAAATAAATTGAAATTTAACTGCCATTTTTGATTTGAAAATTTAACGGTTTGCACAAATTCAAATGAACTGAACAGAAATGGACTGAAAATTTACTGAACGAATTTTAATCAATTCAAAATTTTAAGATTCGTTAAATCATTAAATCTTAGAATAAGCATTTATAAACCACCCATGACTCATCCCTAACCCCTACCATAAAAATACATAAGTACATACCTTGATGTAATATTTAAAGATGTCACATGCAGCTGTAGTCGGCAGAATATTATATACAACGAGTTTACAGTATGCTGCAAGATGACTACGCTTCTTATGAAGTTCCTCGATTCTCGTCTCGTCTTGTATTTCATCATAACGTGACGAAAACACATACGTTTTGACAAAATTGATGAGCAAGTCTTTTTGCTCATCTGTCGGTCGATATTCCATCATTTGTACATAACGATTAGAGTTCTTTCCGAGATTTGCCGAGCAGATAACTAATAAATCACAAATTGATATATATGCCTGTGAATGAAGAAATGAATAAAAATTGATTAATTGAATTGTTTATTAGCGCAGAAACAGCCATACTGTAGTTCAATTAATATTAAGCAGTCAAATTACTCACAGATTCTTGAATGGGTAAATCAGCAGATCTAATTAAATGATTACAAGCAGTCATGTATTTATCCAAATTGCGCCGCAATTCATCTGCTGTAAATGCAAGAGCTGATGATTCAAACGACGACTCTAACGACGATATTCCCCAACTTATTGAAAAGAAGCAAGATTCAATGCAGTAGATAACAGCTTCTGACGGAATACTCTTCTCATGTGAAGGATCATTCAAATATTCTTCAATGTCTTGGAACAGTGAATTAAAAAGATTCCAAGGATTTAAATTATGACATGAATAAAGAATTGAAACTTTTTTCAAGCTTATGCAAACTTGATGGATTTCATCTTCATCGGGAATTTCCTCTCCAGCAATAAGATTGCGCCAATCATCGATAGCTTCTTTATATCGATTGACACTTTCATCAATAATATTGGATCTTGCCACATCGCATTGTGTATATATGGCACTGCCTTCAGTACACAAAAATTCAAGTGTTTTAGAGCAAGCTTCTAAAACTTCACGGTCAGTACTAATCGACATAATTAAAGTAATTTTATCGAGTAGAAATTTCAGCGATGCTTCTTGTCTCAATGTCGTATACATTTCGAGATCAAAGTATTGAGGTATGCTTAACAAGTTTATGAGCTTTTCATTATCAGCACTATACTTTTCCAATAAATATGGAAGAGTTTGAATAAAATGTTCAGTCAATTTCTGTTTGTCGTCTTGTAATTGCTTGATTTCTTTTGCTGTCGATGTCTTTTGACGATTGCTTCCACGTCCAACAGGCGGTTCCGATAAAGCGACTTGCTTTACTGCGCTTACCTGTTAATTTTTATAAAAAAAATACATATTTAAAATTATTATTGAAATTAAACGTATTTTTTAAATTTGAATCTCAAAACCATACAAATGTTTTCCAAAACTGTTGTGAGGTTTTAAAAATTTAAATCTCAAAACCACTCGACTGTTGTCAAAAAAACTGTTGTGGGGTTTTAAAATTTAAAACTCAAAACTATACAAATTTTCCAATGACACTGTTGTACGGTTTAATTATTTGAATCTCAAAAAACGGTTAAAAGTATCAACTCACCATAATTTCAATTAATGTAGATTCCTGCTTATTATCCATGACTTCTTCACTCTGACCAGGTTCTTCGAGCAGCAAATCTGTCATACATTCCCAATCTTTAATCATTGGATTACTTTCAATGAAGGAATCGACTAGATAAGCTCCGTGTTCATGAAGTTCAGATTCAATGAAAAATTGGACAAGATCACGAACTAAAGGAGTATTAGGCAATCTCTTCTTTCCACGTTTAGTCAACGATTCAACGGATGGATCAATGAAAAATAATCGAACATTTAAGAATTCAGCAGCTGCTTGTGCAACACCACGATGTGAGGAATAAACCAATTCATATACAATTTCACAATCTTTATCAGTTAAAATGTCTTGATGAATTTTTAATATTTTTATGACAAGTCTGACTGCATGTACAGCAACTTCATATTCTTTATCGAGTGTCATAGCCACAATACGATCCTTAAACTTTGATGTAAAAAGTTCCAATTTTCCTTTCAACTCTTCATTCTCATAAAGTGGTAATAATGCCTGCAAGCATCTTAATCGGACTTCCCCAACCTTGTCGTGAAGTGTCCATCCGATGTATTTCAAGTACGAATCATCGAGGAAGTTTGCAGAGAATTTATGCATCCAAATTCCAATTTCAATCATACAAATTGCTCGAATATCAGGTAAAGTGTCACGATAACGATGAACAAAAACTGATTTAAAGAGATATGTAAGCATGTTCTTAATCTCGTCCATATTTTCTTCCAATTCCTGCCTTTTTGTCATCAAACTTTCAAGACGTTCCTCAGAAACATCATGTGCACTCTTTAATCGTTCACTTTCATATTGACGTGCTGCATTATCCTGATTTATAGACACTAATAATGCAACATCAACGAGTGCTGTCATTAATTTCATAGCAGCAAGTGTTGCCGTATGCCTGAATGCTCGTACTTGTGAATCAGATAATCCAGTAAGTAAGGAAATGACATTATCCATAAGAAATTGATCATAAATGATTGAATACTGACATTGCTTAACGAGAGTTTGAATGAATTCACAGAAATGAGTTTTGAACTTTTTCCATTGCTGTCCTGCCATAATTAATGGATATTCGCCACTTTCTTCATCAAATTCTTCAGTCATTTTACGAATTATTGATGTATGTTCCATTGAGATTTGCATTTCTGTTGTAATCTTTCCTTTACATCCACTAGCATTTATGAAGAACTGCATTAGTGCTATTAATGCTGAATCTCTGTCTGTTTTATAATTCTCAATCCATTCGTCCACAATTGTCGTTATTGTATTCTTTGAGTACCTTAATACCCAAAAAAGACTGTTTTCGTCTGTTGTAATTTCTCGTTCTCTTATTATTCGCTCTTCTAGCGGTTCCTTCTCAACAACTTCACGTTCCTTACGAATTCTTGGTGCTTTTGGCTCTTTTTCGACCTTTTCTTTTGGTAATTTTGGAAGTTTACGTTTACGATTATTTGCTGTCATAAAAAAGTCCTCGTCATCTTCATCAATAATCGGTGGTTTTGTTGGAACTCCACCACGAGCTCTTAATCTCGTCATACGCTGTCCTGAAGGTCCTGGACCTTCCAATTCATCTTGTCCTTCATTCATGCTAAAATATTGATTTTTCTTCTTAATTAGTGTGCTTCTTTAATTGAATTAAGAGTAAATCTTACTATAATGAATATTCCGTAGGAATCTCATCCATACGAATGCGCTTGCCGCGACTTATCATTTTGCTGTATTTTTATTTCTGAAAAACATAAACAAACGAAAGTTGAAAATTAATATTCATCAATAAAACTTTGAAATTCATGTTTTTACAAGCCTCAAACATGACAACTTGGTAAATTATCACTTACTTTACACAATAATACTGATTTAGTTATGTTTTGAAGCGATTTAACTGCATAAAATTAATTATTTGTGCAGATTGATATTTTTATCAAGTTTTTTACTTTTTTAAATAATGCGCAAGTTCTTAACTTTGTCTGTCTGTCCAATTTTTATTTTGAAATTTTTTTGATGGTTTTATTTCAAATCTTTTTCGACCGTTTTTGTATTTTATTATTCATCTTGTTAATTTCAGTCTCTTACTAAAGTCAAGGATATGCGCTTCTGAACATTAAACTCATGTCAATAATTCTATTACTAATGCTTAAGAGCACTGCAGCTTTTATCCCCCTGATCTTAATCAAAAAAATATATTTTAAAAGTGTGAATTAAGTGAAACTTGAGCTAGGATGGATGATCCAGAGATTCTAGAAGTCGAGGATGATTATTACGGATTCCTGAATGTCCCAAAAGATGTAAGTACTTAATTTTGTTCCTATTTCATAACGAAAATCAATTATTTCGAAATACTCATGGGTCTTTTATCTTAATTCATCAAAATACAGGCAACAATTGAGCAGATAAATAGCGCATATAAGAATTTGTCTAGAACTTATCATCCTGACAAGCACATAGATCCAGAGGCGAAGAAAAATGCAGAAATAATTTTTAATAAGCTCAAACAGGCTCATGAAGTTTTAACGAATCCAGAGAAAAGAAACATTTATGATTTATTAGGAATGAAGGGTTTGCAGACTGAAGGATGGGAATTGATTCATAGGTATTAATAATATGTCTTATAAGAATGTCAGTTTCATTAATCAGATGATTTTTAGGAAAGCATCTCCAACGGAAATTCGAGAGGAATATGAGAGGCTTCAAAGAGAAAAAGTAATGACATTAATTGTGTTAAGCTAGTATTATGCAATAATTTTTTCATATATAATTCATAGGAGGAACGACGGCTTCAACAGCTGACAAATGCTAAAGGAAACATCACACTCAACATTAATTGTACAGATATCTTTAATTCATATGAAACTGATTACGAGTAAGTTTTATGCAATGTACCTACAGTTACTCTAGATGTGACTAATGGAAGTGCATTTTGCAGGCACAGACTTTGAATGAAGAATAACTGTCAACAAATATTTGAAAAATAACTGTCAAAAAATATTCAAAAGATTCAAGTCATTGCTTTTTAAATATGTAAAAGCCGTTGCTTTTCAAATATTTCATGGCAGTTATTTTTAATACCTAATCTGTAATACTGGATCTTGAATATATTTCTCTTTGTAGTGAGCCTAGTTTATTGCAAAGCATTGAGATATCGGGAATGAGTATGTTCCAATCAATTGAGGTTCCTATGGCTGAAAACAATACTGCAATTTTGTCTGGTAATTTAAATGTTTCGAATGGACAAGGAAATGGAAGGTTTAATTTAACTGCACGACGAATTCTAAGTTCCAAAGGATGGATAGAATTGGATATGGGTGCTGGCAATGGAGTGTCATTTGGTGGAAAAGGATTAAGAAATTTTGGAAAGCGATTTTTTGTGAATGGTCAATTAAACATGAGTGTACGTCAAAATGGGATTGTGCCATCGCTTGTTGGTTCCTTAGCTGTTCAATTAGATCGGCATACTGTAGGCTATTTAACATATACAGTAGCTGGATTATCAACATCTTTATCGACAATAATTGAAAGAAATTCAGAGAAGAATTACGTCAATTTGACATTTTCTCTAGGCTTGCCTCATTCCTTTATTGGATGTAACTATATTCGTAGAATAACTGAGTATGAGGCTAAAGTGAAATTGTCTGGAAAAGTTGGAACTTTTGGCTTCCTTACTGAATATGGTCTAGAGAAAAAAGTCAGTAAATACTCATCAGTTCATGCATCTGTCATGATTGGCGTGCCAAGCGGTGTAGCTCTTAAAATTCGCTTTATTCGATCAACACAATCGTACAACTTTATGATCCAGCTTAGTGAAGAAATCATCCCAGCTGCTGTTTTTTATGCAACAACCGTACCCATTGTTTCTTATCTTATTTTAAAGAAATGCATATTGGAACCAATGCAAGCAGAGCAGCATAAAAAAGTTGTTGAAAAGAAAAAGGAAGTCAATGAAGAAAGACTGCTGCAAAAGCGAAAAGAAGCACAAGCTGAAGTGTCATTAATGGTAGCACAATATGACCGAATTTGTACGGAGGAAGTGTCTAAAAATGGATTAATTATTTTATACGCCTTTTATGGAACCTTTGATGATGACAATACGGCAATTGACGAGCTAGTTCCTGAAGACGATTCCACTTTTATCGATGTTAAAATTCCATTACAATGTCTCACAAAAGACAGCGAAATTCTAGTTCATACTACATTTAAGGTACAGTTCCTTATAAGATTCTTATGTCCATCACTATTATTTTAATTTCTTTAATTGCAGTACGACTTGCCAGGATTTTTTGATCCAGCTATTGGCGAAGATAAAGTACTTAAAGTTCAATATAAGTTTAAGGACAGTGTCAACACAGTCACGCTTGAAGAAAAGGACGAAATCAAACTGCCGCTGCAATAATAATTATGAACCAAAAAAAAAATACCAGATTATCACTGATGTCCTGCATAGAGAAGTTGTTATTTACATTCAGAATGTAGAATGAAATGGTGTTTAAATAAATAAATAAATTTTATAATGTAGACTTAAACAAGCTGTTCTTATTACTTCATTTACTGACATTCAGTTTCAGATTCCAATTTGTTCCTTGATTGTCATGACATTCTTTCTTTGGCTTGAATCAATTTTAGAATATACAGGAAACTTCAGCAACTTTAAAATGGCTTGCATTCGATTTATCTGATATCTGAGTGCTTATAATCAGCCACAACTAATAAATCATGCAGCGGTAATCACCAAAAATCTTGAAATTCAATGAGACTTGTACCCTCAAAATTTTATTCCAAAAAAAAATATCTCAATGCAATTTCCGTTCCTTTTTTAGTTCCAATGCATCTGAACTGACTGGAACCAAGTCTTAAAATACATCCATCACTTAAAAACTGCTTAAAATTGCAAAAAAGAAGTGAAAAAGAATTTCTTCCTTTAGTTCTAAGCAAATTCAGTTTTTCGTCCATACACTTCACAAGAGCTTGCAGAAATGACTAATATAAGGTATGATTAAAATGATATGGAACTTTAAGACTGTGCTTCAGAGGATCATTTCTGTAGTCTGTCTTCATACCTTATTGTTTCTAAATGAAACATTAACAAGCCATGATGAGGAGTTGTGGCGTTTTTTCCTGAGCGTGAAGCCGGCATGAGAACTGGAAGTATTTTCGGTACTCATTGCTATTGATGATCGTTCACATTCTATTAATTCATTAGTAGAGTGGGAGGGAAAGAACGCTCTCTGAGTGGTTTTTCTTAAATAATTACATAAAAAAAAATATCTTCAGCATTAAGGAACTAGAGACAGCTATATGATAAACAAGTCTCTATTAGTTCCTAATCGTCAGTAAATAACACAAAGATTTAATCGTATTTTCAATGCCTAGAAATAATTTTATTACGTATAAAATTTACAATTCAGTATTTTGTTGCCATCCATGACGTTGGTTCTTATCGGAATTCTGAAGACAGACTTTAAAGTTCTCTGTAATCTCGTTGAGTGATCCTTTATAGACCCCATCAGCACAGTTGTTTCCTTTAGCCTCAACTAATGTCAATTTGGGTAGTTTATCGAAAAAGTGCTGACCAATTTCATAGAGTAAGCAGTCATTGATGCGAATTTCCTCAATTTCTGTATTCTTGCTGAGCATCTCACCGTCGAGTGATGATAGCTTGTTATGGGATATATCCAAAAACTTTAATCTCTTTAAGCTTTTGAAGGTTCCAGGTAAGAATTTTTTGATATTAGTTCCTGACAGATTTAATGTCTCGAGATACATTACAAAGTCGAAGAAACGGACATCAAGTGATGATATTAAGTTGTTGGACATATCAAGGAATGAAAGGTCGAAGAGATCATTAAGTGCATTGTAAGGAACAGTTTTAAGTCGATTATTCCTAAGATTTAAATTTCTAAGCTTTTTAATTGGCTTCAACAGTTTCCTTGGCAATGAATCAAGTTGATTGAAGCTCAAATCCAGCTCCCTCATGTTCTTTGTCTGTCCAAAAGCATTTTCATGGATTTTCTTAATCTCATTCTTGCTTAAATCAAGAATCACTAAGTCACGGCAAATAAAGAAGGTGTCATGAAGGATTTCCTTAATATTATTATTATTCAGTGTCATGTAGACGATTGGAAAGCAGTTATAGATGTAATCAAGTGTATGAATATTCACATTTCTTATGTCCAAATTCTCTAAATTCACAAAATACGTAAAAATGTCGAGTGATGGAAGGAATGCAATGTTTGAGGGAGGTACAATCTCCAAATACCGAACATCCTCATTTGTCTTCTTTTCCATTTGATTTCCAGTAAATCTGACGTGTTGATTTTCATCCTTTAGAATAACATTTGGGCATCTTGCAACATATCCACGCTTCTCGTCCATAAAATACTCACAAATTGTGTCTTTTCGATCGCCTTCGTCCACATGACAGTAAATAAAAGACAGCAGTGAAACTTTCAGAAATAATACACAAAATATTTTATTCCATTTCATTTTTAATAATTTTTACGATTCAGTACCACGTCAAGCTTAATACTAACTTACTGGACTAAAATGAAGTAACTTAATACATGCTGTGAGGGGATTCATTCGTAAATTATGTCTTTTTTTGGATTTTTTTGAATCACACCCATTTTGTCTACCGAAATTCCTTACAAGCAACATCTAAACCCCCCTCCAAATGATGGACGTCATTTGGAAATAACCCCCCAAGATAATGAGAATTTATCAAAAAATGATAAAAAATTAAATTCGAAGTGATTGACAATGTCTAGAATAACTTATGTATGATAAGATTACTATGAAGGTGTTTCATAAATGACGCCCCTTTCTCAAACTATGATTCATAAAAATAATTTTGAATCCCCACAAAAAAAAGTTAAACATCATTAACGAATTATCCCCTTTGATACCCCCCCCCCCCATTCAATATTATACATTACTTAATCTACGCACGACTTCTAATTCATTAAAACTTTATTTATGCTAAGTCTCTTATGTGCTGTGCAGATCACAATAGGTTTTAAAATCTTCACACAATTTCCAGGATTTACCTGCACACACAATATGAGCTTCTTTTAAGCATCCACGTGTTAAACATGCAACCATTGCTCCATTTTTCTGACAATATTCACAACGATGTCGCGTACTTTGCCAAACAGCTGCTTCTAGTCCAATTATTTTGGTTCCTATAATGTGTGTTCCTGGCGACCAAACAATGCAATCTTCATGGAACCAAATCTCGTAATTATTCTCATCAACAGCTGTCATTCCTGTAAATACTTCCTCGCTGATTTCTGGGCCATTTACAGCTGTTGGACTAGTTACTTTTTTGGGAATCACTTCCAATTTCTTCTTCTTTTTTGGTGAATTTAATGGTGACTTGATAGGTATGAATTTGTCGCGATTACTTTGTCGAAAAATGTCATTAGCTGGATCTTCTAAACATAATGCGTAATCTTCAGACTTTTTGCTAATTATGTACGGACCAAATAGATCACCAAGCTTATTCTTATGAGGACCAACCTTGCAAAATACACAAATCCAAGTCGTATCCCTTTTATCAGCATCATATTTATTGCTTAAAGTGCTTACATGAAGTCCTCGAATATGCTGTCGATGTTTTTCAATTGCAACTGGTTTTTTCGTCTTACTGGATGCTTTGTCTGTATCATCGTCACCATTTAATGTTTGGTTGATGACTGTAAAGGAACCGTCTTTTTGAATTTGAATGTATGGCGCAGCATCAACTTTAACTTTGGATCTTCCACCGTTTTCTTTAGATTTTTGTGTCTTTTTGGAATCTAGCTTGTCGATCTTGCCTTTGTCGCTTCCTTTAAACTTTCCTGATTTGTCATTTTTCTTATCTTTTGATTTATTTCCATTCACAGCTTTCTTTTGCTTCTTATTAGATCCTGTGTCAGGCTTCTTCCTTTTATTAGCAGGTTTAGGCTTGACAGGAAGTTTTGGCGTTTCCTTTGTGCTATCTTCGGGTGCTATTGACTCTATTGTGCTTTGTTCATTGATACTTGATTCTGGAACATCAGCAAATAGCTCTTCCAGACGATATTCAACCTCATTAATTATATTATCTTGTTGTTCCTGTGTATTAGTTTCACTTTCAATTGGCTTCTCTTCGTTCGTGATGTTCGAGACCATTTTAGCTATTTTCTCGATTGTTTCACAATCTGATTCAGGTTTTGAGACTTCAGAATTTATTGAGATTATTGACCCACTTGAAACTTTATTTGTTAACTCCATATCTATATCCATTGGCTCATTATCACTAAGACTTGTGTCATTAAGGGATGTTGAGACTTTTTTCGGTTTTCTTTTTCGTCTATTTTTATTGGTATCGCCGGGAGACTTTTTATTATCTCCACCTGATTTGGGTGAGCATTGTGTCGAGTTTATTGGTGTTTGACTTGGGGGATCTACGGCTATTACTTCTAATGAACTGGTTTTTGTCAAATCAATTGTTGCTTTCTAAATTAAAATTGAATTTTTATGAAAATTAAGCCTTATTCTGTATGATTAATACCTTACCGAAAGATCTTCTGGATCATTGGTTGACATATTTGAGTATCAACTTACTATCTTCCTTAAAATGTCCTTAAATTCACTGATTTTTAGACTGAACAATTTTCTCAAAAATTTTTTGTCGGTAAACAAATCAAGTTCAATTTTTTGATATGAAGATGTCGCTTAGTACAGTTTTTGTTGGTGCTAGAACATGTACCTAAAATAGGAATATCATTAATACCTTAGAGAAATGCTATATGTTCCTTAAAAATTAGATTTTTAAATTTATTAAGATTAAACGGTTTTCAAAATTTTGAATTTTATTTTAAACAATTTTTTGACAGTTTTTCTGTTGGAATATATTCAATTTTTTGAAATCCGTTGAAATGATTAAATTCTGAATTGTTTAATTTTATTAACAGATATTAAACCTCAGTATTATAATAATCAAGAAGAAGAAGATTATAATAATCAGCTAGTAACTGCTAGTAACCGTCTTGCTGCAAATAATTTAAATTTCGAAAATCGAACATTTTTAGCGGGAATCTTATTTCGCAGTTCATTTTCGCGTGCTCAGCCACAAGATCCAGTTCAATCATTTTCTTTAAAAACTTGTTCATTAAACTATTAAAAATGCCAGCTGAAGCTCAACCACTGTTACGCTTTGCAAAGCTCTCAGAACATGGATTTCCACCACTTAAAGGATCAGAAAAAGCTGCTGGATTTGATTTGAGAAGGTAAGTCGCTCCTTTTGTTCTTTTATAATCTTAATTAATTCAATAAATATGTATGATAAGTGCATATGATTGCATTGTTCCTGCTCGTGGAAAGTTTGTAGTCAAAACAGACATCCAAATAGAACTTCCAGAAGGGTGCTATGGACGAATTGCACCTCGTTCAGGATTAGCAGTTAAAAACTTTATTGACGTTGGTGCAGGAGTTGTCGATGAAGATTATAGAGGAAACTTGGGTGTAGTCATGTTTAATCACTCAGATGTCGATTTTACTATTGCCAAAGGTGATCGTATTGCTCAATTAATCTGTGAACGAATCTTTTATCCAACTTTGGAAGAATGTCCATCACTTACTGATACTCAACGCGGTGCTGGTAAGTCACACATACTCAATATTGTTGGTTTTAAGTTTATTGTGAATTTTATTCAACAGGTGGATTCGGAAGCACTGGAACCAATTAACATACTTCATATTCATTACATTCACTGATCTCTCACATTTCAATCCGTTAATAAAGTTGTATTTCTTCTAAAGATTAATTAAATTTATTAGTCATATAACAGATATCACAATTTTAATGGAAATGGATTATCCAGCATATTTAAGTATGTTGCTTTAATTGGTCAATTTGTAAATGGAAAGTAACTTGTGCCTGTCTAGCTAAATCATTTGCTAAATTCATTTCAACTTCTTCTGGATCTGGAAGACCCAATTTCAATCGAATCTGTTCTCTTTCCATCTCTTTCTCCTTTAATTTCAACTCGCGCTGCTTATTTTCAAGAAGCTTTTCTCTACGAGTTTCCCGATCCAAAACCACAGCCATCGCAGGCCTATCATTTGCTGTAAATGTTGCCAAATTCTCTGAAACTTCTAATAAATGGATGTTTCCATTTTTAGTTCCAACAGCAACCAATTTGCCTTCCTTATGTGGTGAACAATAAGTTAAAGCTGAGTCTGATATCTTTAAAAAGTTAGTAGAATAGATATTAGAACTTCATGGGACAGTAAATTATAGTATTAAGTACCTTAGTCGATAGTACAGGCCTATCACTTCGATGTGTCACATCCCAAGCATCGAATACTCCATCAACTCGACACAAATAAAAGCTCGCACATCTTACAGAATTCCAGCATCCATAGCTTAATTCAGAATTATATTCCTTAGTCCAGAATATTGGATTATCCTTCAACTCTTCGCACCATATTTTCGCTTGCCAGTCACCTACAAATATTATTCGTTGTCATTGATTTTATGTCAAGGCTATGAATATTGAGCAATGCTAATAATTACCAACACTTAAAAAGAATTTAAGGAACGACGGATTACGCTGTGCAGCGGCAATAGCACCTTTATAACATTGAACTTTTGAGTATATTCGATCAGATGGTGTTTTGAAGCGTTTATTACAGATATAAACAACACCATGATCCGTGCCTACCATGTCTAAAATATCAATTTTAAGTCATTAGTGCTGGCATTTTACCAAATAATTTGGGGGGGGTCCTCGATTTGAATAATTCTTTAGCTAGAAAAATCATGTTAAAGAATGGTTTTAAATATAAAGTTGCCAAAATGAAGTTTGCAACTTTTTTAATTTAGATTTTTTTGAATATTTTACAGTGATCCAAACCGAGGACCCCCAGAAGCATATAAACTTACATTTATTAGGAATTGTACTTTCATATTCCAAAACTGACACACCAAATGCTTTCTCTTCCGTTTTAACGACACCTTGCAGTTCCTCAGGACACAATAATAAAACATCAATTGGCTTATCCAAATATCTTAAATCCCACCAGAATATTTCACCCGAAGAAGCGCCTGAAAAGAATTCCATGTTCGATTTTGAGCAATAAAATGTGACAGCATTGACTTGATCCTTGTGGGAATTTTCACGATGAGATATGACTGATGGGAATTTACTGCTGGATCTAATGTCAAATAAAGCAATTTGTCCAGTGATCATTCCAGTCACAAGGCTTGTTATCTCTTTTGGATTATACTCGAAACATTGTGACTGAGAGTGAGCATCGAGTGTCCTTACTGGTGCTTTTGGGTACTCAATGTCCCATATATGAAGCGTATTCTCTTCACCAAGAAGATAATGATAATAAGACTGATCTCCACAATGTGCTGATGTGAAATGTGTTCCATCTTCTGGATTCCAAATAACTTTCTTAACCATTCGTGGAGTTTTATCACGAAACATATTTAATGTCTTTGACGAGTATTCTTCTTTCAAATCAATCTGTTCCATATCCTCAAAGTATGTTTCGTAAAGATTCACTGCGTTATTTTGGTATATTGCATGCTCACATGCTTTTATTAATCCTTTCATTTGAATGACATATTGTTCATCCTTTTCCTGCTTCTTACGATACCTTGAAGTCTGCTCATCATCGAGTCTATTAATATCTCGTGGCCAGCCACCTTCAACATGATTAATTCCAGTCGATTTTAATGTTGGATTATCAGTTGTGACATAAATCCCACAAATCTGTGTACAATTTTGTATTCCAGTATCAAATAATCCTTGACGATCCTTTTTCTTCGGAGGTGGCGGTGGCTTTGCATTCTCTAAAGTCACAATCAATTCATCAAAATTCTGAAGTTTCTCTCTTAAACGTCTCATCATCATGAAGGAAGTTCTAGCTTTGCGTAGGTCAAGGAAACAGGAAAGTAGTATGCGTCAATCAGCTGATTGTTGAACAAAAATCAATTCCTTTTATAATTTTTTTACTATACACGTAAAATTAACTCTTACAAAATATGAACTTATTCTTTATTACTTTCTGACATGAACCAAAACCCGAGGAATGGATGGAAAGAAAGTTTTACTATTGAACTCAACGAAAGCGTCAATGAAAATGAATAAAAGTGCAATGAATTACAGTGAAAAAAAATGTGCAAAAAGTTTGATCAATGCACTTCAGAGAACTATAGTTTATTTATAAGTCATGACCAAAGAAAATTGAAAATTGTGATTGTGTGCATCGGAAGTGCTCATAAACAATGAATTTGTTGCATGCAAACATGATTTTCAATTCATAAAGTCATCAGGAAGTTTTTATAGCTACCCGAAAATAATTTGTTTTGTTCTCCTTGCTCAATTGAAATGAATTGCTCTATCCATATGACTTAAAATGATGTTTTAAATGCTTGTTAGCATTTTGAGGGTGCTACTGGATGTTCTGAAGGTGTCAAGTGCACCACATTAGTTCTTTCATGTTTGTAATCATCAAAATCCATTTTCTTAATTAATTGATATCATTTTCAGGATCAATTCTAAATACTTGAGAATATTACAGGTCTAGAAAAGCTTATCATTGAGTAGAAAATCGAGAAATCATTAATTAAGTTTCAATCATCAGCCATGTGCTACGAAGAAACCGTTAAAATAACAGTCAAAACTTTTTGAAAATCGAGTTAAAAAATTCAAATTTAAGTATTCAAACAAGTCATTTCACAACATAATTAATCATTTAAATCAGCAGCATAACAATTTACAGCAATAAAATTGCCAAACAGCAGCATTAAACTTGCAAAACAATAAAAATAAAGAAAGTAAAAAAATAACGGTTTTCAAAAATTTGATTTTGAGAGTAGAAAAAAGTTTGCTAGACGCACTCGGTGATTATCCCTATTAAAATAAATCTGAAATTAATATTAATCAAAATACGCGGAATTAGCAAAGTTCTATTTGTGGAAAATGCGATATAATACTTAACTTTTAATCTACTATACGTTAATTAATAAATAGTGTTGTGACGCAGTGAAATTAACGAGATAAATCAGTTTAAAGTGCAAGTTTCTTTCGTGTTACATCATTTCTTGAAAAAAAATATGGTTTTATCGCGTAATCAAAAAGATCCAGCGAAATAGATAGTTTAATTAATATATCTCTATATCAATATATTGCAGAACAGTGAATTATCCAAATTGTGACTGAATAAACAAGGTTTTAAGTCAAAAGGAAACAACTTTAATTCGTTATCAAAATATATATAAAGAAATTCAAAGTTGCATTAATTAACAAGAGATTTATGCATAATATACAAATGTGATAAGATTATTTGTGATTAAAGTCAAGGCAGTGATGAGTACAGAGAGTCCGAAAAAGGTTTGTGTTAAATTATCGATTTTTCATCCATTTTTTGTTAAGTTGCATTTCATTTTTATTAGCATCACATGCTTATTTCTACCTTTCTCTTATTATTTCTTGTGTTTATTAATATATATTTTCAGTTCTGACATCATTATATTCTATTGGTTTCTCACACATCGCACTGGATTTTCGCTCTTAAAAGCTCTTATTATTGCTTATTATTTACATTTTTATTCTTTAAAAGCTATTTTTGCTAATTTACCGACGATCGAACTTGTGAAATATTGATTGAGATAATATTTCAGAAACTTAATTATTGAATCCAATCAACCCTCTTCTTATCCCATCCATAAAACAACCGGATAAATAATATATATAACGAATGGCTGCATATTTAAATCGCGGAATGTCGATGATTGCTGGAAATGGGTACGGTGATTCTTTAATGGATCCTAATTCGCGACGGGAACTTCATCATGTAAATTCACCGTTGCAGATCTTCGTTAAAGCTAAGAAGAATATTAACGATATCTTTGGTGATATTAGCGATTATGTTGTCGAATCCACAAATTTCATTGAAGGTAAGCAAAAAGTCACAATCTAATCCTTTAGTTCCACTCAATTTTATGTCTTATTTTTAAGGACTCGCACAAGGTCACATTGACATCGTCGATAAAGCTGAAACAGAGACATTTAGGGGATTTGTATTCAAAATTAATAACATTCGGGAAGTACTGGCTCGTGATCATATGAAAGTTGCATTTTTTGGACGCACTTCAAATGGAAAAAGTTCCGTTATCAATGCTATGTTAAGAGATAAAATTTTGCCTAGTGGAATAGGTCATACAACAAATTGCTTTTGTCAGGTCGAAGGTGTTGATGGACATGATGCTTATTTGATGCGAGAAGGATCGGAGGAAAAACTCAATGTTACTGTAAGCTGTAAACATTTTTACTGTTCCTGAATATTTTAATACATTCTTTTTGTTCAATTTGTAGTCAATTAAGCAGCTCGCAAATGCATTGTGTCAAGAAAAGCTCTGTGAGAGTTCCTTAGTGCGCATTTTTTGGCCTCGCGAGAGGTGTAGTTTATTACGCGACGATGTTGTTTTTGTTGATTCACCCGGTGTCGATGTGTCACAAAATTTGGATGATTGGATTGACAATCATTGTTTAAATGCTGATGTTTTTGTTTTGGTCCTCAATGCTGAGTCTACGATGACTTTAGCTGTAAGTTGAACTTTTTAATAATTTTTCTGGCTTTCATAATTATCAACTCATTAGTTCCTTTAGGGGCCATTCACTTATTACGTAACGCTTTTAGGGGGAGGGGGGGGGGGGTCTAAGATTTTGTTACGATTCAAACAAGGAAATTTTTTTTCATACAAATTTTGTTACGAGGGGGGGGGGGGGTCTAAGAAGTCATTTTTTCACGTTACGTAATAAGTGAACAGCCCCTTACTGGAACCAACATAAAAATTAGATTTTAAGAATTAACGGTTCAAAAAAATTTAAAATTTTTTGACAGTTAATTTTTAAACGTTTTTTGACCGTTAATTTCAATAAAAATTTTATGCATCGAAAATGAATTTTTATAGTCTATGACATACCTTTACTTAACATTTATGAATATTTATGCAGGAAAAATCATTCTTTCACGAAGTGTCCGGGAAAATTTCGAAACCAAATATTTTTATTCTAAATAATCGATGGGATGCGTCAGCTTCTGAGCCAGAATGTCAAGAATCTGTAAGTAAATTGTCTACCTTAACTAATATGACTATCCATTGTCATTAAATATTACATATTTTCCTTCATTTTTCATTTTTCTGTTGATAAAAAAAATCTGTATAATGTTATTGTATTATTTGTAAATGAACGCATATCCTAAACATATTCAAAGAAGGATGCGTTAGAGAAGGTAATGAATGCTTGTTGCTTGATATTGTCCTTATATGTCATTTCCTCGTGTACCTTTGTGTGCTGTGCTTGCTATTCACTTACATTTAACAGTTCTAATAAGAAATTTTTCTCCAAATTTATTCGACAGGTTAAAGCACAGCATCAAGAACGTTGCATTGATTTTCTTACAAAAGAATTAAAAGTAAGTACCGTAAAGGAAGCAGAAGAGAGAGTTTTCTTTGTGTCAGCAAGGGAAACATTACAAGGAAGATTGCAGGAAGCCAATGGATTGCCAGCACATACAGGAGCATTAGCTGAAGGCTTCCAAAGTCGCTATTTTGAGTTTCAAGATTTTGAAAGGAAATTCGAAGAGTGCATTAGTAAAAGTGCTGTTAAAACTAAATTCGAGCAACACAGCTCTAGAGGAAAGACGATTGCGAAGTAAGTGCTAATTTAATTAATTTATCTTTATTTACTTTGCGATTTATTGCCTTGCCGAACATTTTTTTGTGATATTTTATTTTTTATAAATATTTTTGAAACCCGTTATTTTGAAAATTCAAAACTATTTTAATCTTGAAAGAACACGAATCGCCAGAAAGATAACTGTCGAAAGATATTTAAATAATAACGATCAGAAAATATTTGAAAATTTGTAGTGTGAAAAATTTGAAAATGATTTAACAGTCACACAAACATTTTAATTAATCATTATTTTCAACCTTTAGTGATATGCGCTTAATGCTAGACAATATATTTGAGAGAGTGAATGATCTGAGAAATCAAAAATTGGAACAAAAGAAATTCTTAACAGATAAAATCAGTACAACCGAGACACAATTAATGGTAGTCACAAGAGAAATGAAGATGAAAATCCACAACATGGTCGAGGAAGTCGAACAGAAAGTATCGAAAGCATTAAATGAAGAAATTTGGCGCTTAAATGTTCTTGTTGATGAATTTAATCTTCCATTTCACACTGATGCTCTTGTCTTGAATGTCTATAAGAAGGAAATGAATGCTTATGTTGAGACTGGTCTTGGATCAAATTTGAGAGCCAGATTATCGACGGCATTAGCCATGAATATTGAGACAGCACAAAGAGAAATGACTGATAGAATGACAGCCTTAGTCACCAAAGAAAAGCTCAAAGAACAAACAAGTCAGATCATTACAGCTAGAAATCAGCCATTCGAAATGCTCTACACACTCAATTGTCAGAATTTGTGCAGCGATTTTCAGGAAGATTTAGAATTTAGATTCTCGTGGGGTATTACAGCACTCATATATCGATTTAATGCTAAACGAGCAGCTTCAAAGAATAGCAAAACTATCAAAAATCGTTACAACGGAAATTTGAATGTAAGATTCTCATATTTCTAGTTTAAATGTCAATATCATTAATATTAATTCACTTCATTTAGACATCCAATCATCCCATCACACCGAGTGCAGATCTTAATTCACCAATGACTTTACTGCCACAATTTGGTAATGAATTTACGACAGAGGAGCAATTATCATTGATATCAAGGATTGCAGCAGCGTCTATTGGATCACAAGGAACTGTTGGAGGTCTAGTAATTGCAGGAATTGTAAGTTTAGATGATTATGTATTTCTCTCCAAAATTTGAATTTTAACGTTTTTCAAAAATTCAAAATATTTTTTGACACAATAATTCAAATTTTTGAAAACCGTTAAATTTTGAATCTTCTTTCGTTACCTCAATTCAAGTTTATTAATGCTTAATTGTTATCCACAGCTCTTCAAGACAATCGGATGGAGAGTATTGGTAGCTATTGGTGGAATCTACATGTCAGTGTATGCATACGAACGTTTATCATGGACAAATAAGGCAAGAGAGAGGAAGTTTAAGGATCAATATGTGAAGCATGCAACGAGAAAATTGAAGCTTATCGTTGACTTAACATCAGCCAATTGTAGCCATCAAGTCCAACAGTAATTGACTCTATATTTTAATAAGCTTGAAAGTTAATTAATCTTCAATATTTGTTTGCAGAGAGCTTTCAAGTACATTCGCAAGATTGTGTCGAGTTGTTGACAATGCTCAGAGCGAGATGAATGGCGAATTGAAGGAAATTGAAGGATCTCTCAACGTCCTCGAAGTGAATCAGAAGCAAATAAAGCTGTTGAGAAATAAAGCAACATTTATTACAAACAAATTAGACACTTTTGAAAATAATTACATGAAATCTAATTGAATTGAAATTTAATATTTTTTTGAGATGGCCCGAATAGAAGTTAAAAATTCTTGGTTGCATGTTATGATTGATGTATTTAGGAAAAAGTGAGAATAATGGAATGAATTAAAAATTGTTTTAGTATTTTTATCACTCAACCAACGAGAGTACATTATTAACTTTTTATTTTGATGATATTCGTTTATAAATTCATTCAATTTTTGAAATGAAATTTCTTTTATTTGAATATTTATAGATTTATTCAATAATAAAAAAAGTAATAATAATAATATGAATAAAAAAGATGATTTTAAGTGGGAAGTGCATGGATGGTCATTGTGTGGAATTTTAAATCTTTCAGCAAGCGGAAGGATTCTGGACATTTGTCGCATTCGTATACGTTTTCTCCTATATGTACTTTTGCTAAATGTTTTACTAAATCGCCTTTTTGTGAATACTGAGATGAACAATATTTGCAGCCATAAGGTTTCTGGAAATGGACAAATTTATTAATATATGTGGATTCCCAAATAATGTGAAATCTTTACCTCTTTTGTGTGAGATCGCTCGTGATTTTCTTGTGCCCATCGTGATGCAAATCGCTTCTCGCAGAAGCCACAAGGAAAGTTTCGAGGTAACGTGCCATTGTGTCTCTTTAAATGTGTTTTTAATGTTTCTGGCTTTTCGAAGCACTTTTGACAGATTGAGCACTGATTAATAGTACGATTAAGATGGAATGCATAATGATGCTTGAACCTATTGTAGACACTGAAGCTTTTCGGACACAAATCACATTTATATTTGCAGGAATTTGTATGGCTCTCAACGTGAAATCTATAAAATTAAGGATCATAAATGAATTTATGATTATTTAACGGTTTCTTTTCAAAAACTTTTAAGCAACAAGTTAAATTCAAATTTATTTAAGACGTTACTTTTCAAATTTGTTTGACCGTTAAATTGTTGACTTAATACTTTTTAATTACCTGAATGCAACCAGTGACTTGTAGACTTTATTCGGACAGTGCGGACACTTGAGTATTTGTCGGTGATCAATTCGAATATGCTTGTTTAACAAACATACAGTTCTGAAGCTCTGACCGCATTCTGTAAAATAAAAAAAGAATTAAAAATCACACAAAAAAATCTAAGCAATTAAATTACCTGGACATAAATGAGTCTGGCCTGAATTTTTGTGGTTTTGTATGTGCATTAAGAATTTTAAGCCATAAGCATAACATCGACCACATTCACGACATTTGTACCGATTTTTTGTTGCATGAAACTCTTTTGTGTGGTCGAGAAGATGCTGATAACCAGATACTGGCTTGTAGCATAAAACGCAGGGAGTTGTGGTGAATTCAACATCATTTCTGTGACTTTCTAAATGATTTAATAGCTCATTTCTATCACAAAACTGTTCACGACAAATTGTACAAACTAAAATTTCCTTTGACTGATCTAAATTCTCAACAATATCAGAATGAGCGAAATGATGGAGATCACGTTCCTTTTTATTTTGACACACGACATCACATGAGCTACACAGGAAGTCATCAACTGATTTAAGATGAACTCGCTGCATATGTAAACTAATTTTAGCTTTAACTTTACTTGTAAATTTGCATCTATCGCAATATAAAATGTTTGGATCTAAAAGTTTGTGTTTGTTGGCAAGATGCTTCCTTAAATTCTGTTGACTGACACAGGTTACAGCACAATATCGACATTGATATGTCTTTTCAGCGATACCAAAATGAATTGTCTTAATATGCGTTTCGAGTTTGCTTTTTTGATTCGATGAAAAGGAACAATGTTCACAAAAGTACGATATAAGATCACAATCAATTCCATGAACAGTTCTAATATGAAAGTTCATATCTTTTGTAGCATAGAATCGTGAAAAACAGAAGGAACATCCCATATTGCGAGCTAGTTTAATCTCCAATTCTTGTTCATATTCTATTGGATGACAAGTTGCTTCATGCCGTCTTAATGTTTGATATCCTTTATATTGCTGTGTACACCATCGACATGTTCGGATTCTCTTTGAGTAATCCCTTGTCACCGACGATTTAGTAGCTTTTCTTCCTCGTTTTGATTTTAATGGCTTTTGTTCGTATGAATAATCCTCAATTTCTGACTCTCCAAAGTCAGTTGCACCTTCTGTTTTTAACTCTGTTTGTACAAAAATATTACCATTGTCATTATCAAAGAAGTTTGAATTTTCATCGTCGTCGTTCTCATCGAAAACTTCCTTTTTAATTGTTGCAAAAACATCAGTTTCAAAATTGAAATTTTCATCATTAAATAATGCTAATGTTCTCAAATTATATGCTTCATGTACAATATCTAAGCACGATTTACAAATTCCCTATATAAAGAAATTATTAATAATGTCATATAGCTTAATTAAGTCGATTGACTTACATTTGGTTTATTGTTGTCTGATCTATCAAGTTTTATCAAGCATATACTCGTAACTAAGTTGGCTATTTGCATTCCATTGTGTATATTCCACAGGTTTTCGAGCTGTGTGCTCATTTTCAGACAAAGTCGGCACAGATTTTCCATTTGTATCCGCTTAATTAATAAATTTTCACATTGATTTAAAATCTTTTATTGATTTCCCTTAAAATCTTTCATAACTTACTTTAGAGACACGGATTTTCTGTGCTTTTTCTGTGAAACTCTCCTGCACCCTCTCTTTTATTAAGCTTGTGTTATTATTATTACTATGACAGCATGTAAGTTAATTAAATTACACTTTCTTTGATTCCGTGAATAGTTTTCTTGTCATGTTTACATTTGTCAAAAAAGGGTGTGAAATAGCAACATTTGTTTTTTAAAATTTTGAAAATCGTTGTAAATCTTTAAAAAGTTTTTTATTAAGCTAAATCATCGTAAAATAGACTAATTATCAAGCTGTGTAATCAAAATATAAATCAAAACACACACGATGCTCCTTAGACGCAAGTTAAAAAGAGAATTATTGCAACTTGATGAAAAGAAGATCAGTTTGAAATTTTGAAATTCGTTGGAGGTGAGTTGTTTGAAGATAAGAATATCGGTCGTTTTATTTTCAAAAAGACGTAGAAAAAAAAAATAAAAAAACAATTTCAGTCAGAATTATAATTTTTTGTGTGAAAAGAATTGAAATTTGTTTAATTAGAGTGTTTTTAAATATATTTCAAATGATTGGTAAGCAGCAAGTTGAGCAGTCGAATGTGGATAATGAGAGGAAAGAAAGTTATAGGAAGGAATCGACAGTAAATTTGTGAAACCTAGAAAAATGTGATTTTTTGTGCCTCAAATTGTCCTGTTTTATTTTTCTCTTTGTTTTTATTCGCAAAATCACAGCGATGCTAGTGATTCTTCCTAAACTAATTACAAAGATTTACTAAGATATTAGGAATTTTTGGAACCAAATACACAGATCCAGTTGGGTAAAAGTCATATCCAGAACCAAAAACATAGATCCAGTTGAACTTATAGTGAATTGTTTTCTAAGGACATGATTACTGAATTAAGTGTTAAATGATATAATAAGTGATTATTAAGGCCTGTTTTCTGTGATACACAACAACTTAAAGTAGTGCAATTTTGTGTGAAAATAAGTAATAATAAGACTGATTCTGAAATTATACGGAGTTCCATGTTTTCATTTATTTGAACAGATTTATTAAATGACCGAAATTCTCGGTTACGCTTTGACCATTGTTGAGTACTTAATAATAACTTAAACTTTAATTTCGTAACAAAAAGTTCCCGGAAAATTTACAAAATTTCCACAAAAATCTACGCAGTCACGCATTACTCATCCAGAGCATTAAGATTTACTTTAACTACTTAACAAAATATCTTTAAAGTTAAGTGTATGTTCCATGAAATTTGGTGTTAAAGCTTTTCTGGGAAATGAGCATGGTTTTACAGGTTGCATGCCATTTAGGGGGCTTACATCACTCATGATATACATTAAAGATAGAGAAAATAGAAACCCCGTGAGTTCATATAGTCAAATCTACTATCGATTACTTTTAATCCTAAAGAAATTAAAACCTTTGAATTCAGACGAATAAAAATAATCATTTTATTTCACTTGTCACGACATTAGCTGATCAATTGTCAACAGCAGTCACGTTATTTGACACTTTGTTTAGTCTTATGGCTTTTTAGTGATTCATATATAAATATATATATTCTCGGTAATCAAATTTCTCATGGATTCTAACGATAGTATGCGTTACATCCTCTCATGACTTTATCATAAATCTTTCCTCTCACGACCATTTCAACCATCATTTTGCTTCCTCTAACTTGATAAATTATCTATATTCCACAAACACTCTTTTCTCAGATTTCGGTGATTCGTTTATCAAAAATGATCCAGTACAGACATTACGAAATTTCTCAATGTCGTCTGTTATCGGTCAAAGGTGAGTACCACATGATACCTCATTATAAAATACGGAAATTTTTAAAACCCTACACGCACATGAAGAGACAGTGAAGAAAAAAGAAACAAAAATTTATTGACTGAAAATAAGCGTTATAAACAATGACCCATTTAATTTACGTATCCGTTCATCTTCATTATCTTACCCTATCAAATCAAATGTGTATTATTATTATTATTGTATGCATGTGCAATTGATAAATCATCCATGACCAAAACAGTGGACATTCATGCAGTTGTGGTTGGTTTGTATATTTATGTGTCTCTTTGTAGCATTTCTTCCTACACCCCTTGTCCATTACACACTCTCTCAATTGCTATTTTAAAATGAAATCAAATTATGACCACCCTCAGCTATTTGCTTGATGCTCTATTCAATTCTATAGCTCTATGTCTAATACATTTATTGATATTTAAAATTATTTTTAATAAAGAAATGGAATCCGATTGAATAGATAGATGATTTTTTTGGGTATGAACATGATTTTTTTTGAGATGTGAATGTTGTGTACCATGTGAATTGTGATTAGAAGTATTGCTGTTTCTAGAAAAAGAACTTTAGAAATTCATTATAGTTTAAAATTGTGATTTTGATTCTAAACTCTACTTGAAACTATTTATTTTCATTTCAAAATTTCTAATGGCAATCTTCAATTAGAATCTTGTTGCTCATTTTACTAATCCAGTCACAAAGCTTGGTTCATGAATCAGATAGAGTATTGAAGTCTTAAACATAAAATGTGACTCCTATGCTAGGATATTCCATAGCATCTGCTCGTTTCTTTACGACATCTTGCGCTCACGAATTGTGACTAGAAATATTGTAGAGAATATCAAGTCCTGCAGACTTTGCGAAAATGCCAAAATTCATATTTTGATCCTTGCAACCTTAAAATAAAATTGATCACAGAGTTTTTGAACCTGAAATTGAAGCTTATCATCTCCCCCTGAATAAATCATTGGATGAAATTTCGTTACGATCACACATTAATTTCATTTAGTTATAATTTGTTACAACGACTACATCTCTTCGAAAAGAAGTGTTAAACTACCAGATCTACGTACACATATTTATACGGGCTTTCTAAACACAAAGAATTGCAGTGACATTCCAATTATATTAAAAATTTATTAATGTACACATTTTTATGCTTTGCCATTAACAATTTATAAATTTTTTTTTTCGCTCCGCTCTATGCAGTTTTATCCCATAGCAAAAGTGGGATGTGATAACTTTAATTGCTAATACAAAAATATTATTAAGGGATAGACTCATGTAGAAAATATTTCGTCCATCCAGACAGAATTCAGTTCTCTTTCTCTTCCTCATATGAATAACGAACAATAGACATTTGATTAATTATTTAAATTATGATTTAATTTAGGGGAAAAAAAAGGAATTGATGATAAATTTTAATGACCTCTATGCAAAATAAAAGCAGCATATGTGAAATTTGCAAAGATAGTCCTCAGAATGAATTTTTTAAGCATGAATTTCATTGGAAAAGAAGAAACTACGCAATGCAATGTGTGTATAAAAATGCAGAATGAGTTAAAAATATAGTCGAGACCCTTAAAGGCATCACTAGCAGCCGACCATTTGCCATTGAACAGCAACGCTACATTAATATATAGAACACCTGTCAAAACATTTGTTTGATATTGACTCGTGCTCATGTATTAAAGTCTTCTCTCCCTCATTTCCCTTCTTGTTTTTATGTCGTCTTGGTTAATGTTTCATCATGATGGCAAAGAACTGTATGTTGTTACGACTTACTTCTTATTCTTAATAATATGTACAATTTCTCAACGTCTTCAGTTTAGTTATAAACACATTTATATATGAATATATGATGCACAAGCAATAATACATATTAATTCCATTTTATAGAGCTATTTTTTGAGCCATTAAAAGACGAACATAACATTTTACTACATTGAAAATTCTAAATGAAATTTCGTAAGGGGTCCTTCATCAATGACGTTCTCTTTTGCCTTCATACATATTGAAGTTTGTGATTGAGAGTGGAGAAGATCTGACAAATCCCAAATAATGATTAACATCATTTACGAACGACCCCTAAGCAATCCCTTTAATTTTACCGAAAAAAAATATAAATAACATGCAACATTGAATAAAAACTCATTCATATGAAAAGTTATTATTGCAATATTCAGATAAATAATATATAACAATTTAAATTCAAAAATGAAAATTCTCTGTTTGAGAATTTAAGCAGCAAGCAAGCAATGCAGCCATCGTCAAACATGAATTGAAGTAAAAGCAATATTATCATCTCAATAACACATAGACTACAGGCATGAATTAGTCAGAATCAAACTTTAATCCAATTGCATACAAAATGCTTTCAAATAAGGATTATGTGCCATTTTTCATATTCTGTAAATTTGTTCAAACTGGAATCTAAATGGATGAAATTTGCATTTTTTTCCATCTCGCTTCCTTTCCTTATTTTCTATCCGAATCGTTTCTGTGTGTATATCTATTGTTTACCAACACGATCTAAAAAAAGGACCTCAAAAATTACACAAAATGATGTGAGTGAGTGTATAAAAATAGAAACTTTAAAACCAGAAAAAAAGAAATAAAAACTATGGCTGGAGGCTACAACATCCGAGTTTGGGCAATTCTAAGGATTGTTAATTAATTGATATTTTTATCTGCTACTGATGATTAGATGCTTTGAACATTGTTTCTAGTATTAAAAATGAGAAGATGTCAGGATTAAAGTCTTTGGTTGACATTACAATTTCAAAAATATCTAAACACTACGAAATCGTCTCATATTGTTAGGTACTGTAATTTTTGAATTCCTTAAAGTCTGCTCTGTAGATTCTAAAATTCTGCAGGATATTCCATAAATTATGCCAATAGTCAAAGTATTGATTATACTCCTAAGAATCTCCCATAATATCGATTGTAATAGTTCTGATCATCGGAATCACCCTATAAGAGGAATAGATTTCTACAATGTATGCGTAATGCATCTAATACAAATAAATAGAGAGTTTTAAGCTGCAACCGATTTTTGAAGCCTGCAAGAGCACTAGAAAAAAGCCAACAAACATCTGCTCATCTCCCTTTTTCGAACAAAATTTATTTAATATTTTTTTTTTGTTGTATTTTTAAAAGAATAACACTCACATCTAAAAACAGATGGTTTCTATATGAGTCACGAAAACAGTTAAAAAAGGCATTTTTACTCTACCTAGGACTAAGTAGGATGTGTGTATACGTTCGAAGAAGACATGTGAAGTCAAATGGAACAAAGAAGAAAAAAAAATATGGAAGAAGTAAGCACAACGACGATTTTGATGCCTTCGAAAAAAATTCTTTTTCTTCATTCTTCCTTCTGTTGATTCCTATCTTAACAAGTTTTTACTTCGATGGTATATGCTTCATATTAAACATCCTGTTTTGAATATACATCCACGATTATGTATTTGTTTTTACCCACAATCTAATATTCAATTTTCAAATGTAATTAATGCATCGTTATAACATGGAAAATTCTTTAGAGATTTAACACGAATGCGTCCTTAATGAGCGCAACTGTCAACACCATTTTCACTCTTTTAAAATCCCATAGAAAAAAATAAAATCATTTGATTGATAAAATATATATTTTAGGGATGAAAAAAATCAACGCATTTAAGTCATATTGACATTTCATAGAATTAGATTTTAATGACAAAGTAAATCCTGAAAGGCACATTTTTATTTATAGCAAATAAAGTTTAATATTTGACAAGGCAATGTCAAAATCATGTTTATGATTTAACACTAAAACTATATATTTGGATTTTATAGACTCAATTGAGATCAATCAGTGCATGAATGCACTTTCATATGAATAGAATAGTTACAGTAAACGAGGAAATAAAATAATAATAATAATGGTCTATTTACCCTCGTAAAACTCATCATAACTAAAAAAGACGTGAGGCTTTGTATTATATTAAGGCAATGATGAGAAGGTGCGACTTTATGTTTAACATTGCTGATTAGTTTATATTTAAAAACTACTTTAAATGAAGGGATAACATTAATAAAGAAGATTAAGGATCTATAATCATAATTTATGTTTCAATCATGAGATGAATTTTACAATTGAATGCACGTATGCATGATTATTCGAGTAAATTAAGTTTTACATTTATTTGGATTATAATAATTTGTAAATTATCAATAAGATTAAGTTGGATAAGATTTATTAATATTTTGAATTATTAAATTTGTAGCTCTTGTCTTAGCTTCACTTCCCAGCTAAGGCTTCTGTGACTTAAATATATTTTATCTCAACTTACTGAATTTTTTATCCTTTATGATCTTCGATTGGGTAATATATGGCTTATAATATGCCAGTTGAAGTCGACTAAATTTGACGCAGCTGACTTGCATCTCAAGACTATAACAAAATATAGCTAGTATAAAGTTTGAATATAAAATGTCATTGAATTGAGTTTCATAACAGAATCAGATCCACATTCCAAAAGATAGCAATAATCTTGGTTAATATCGTTAATATGTCATTTTACTCCACTGTGATGTGTAGATTGTTTAGGAAACTCTTGAAGTTAACCTTTTAAAATAAACTATTTTTTTCATATACCCCAGCACTAGGCTTTGTAGCATTTTGCCTATCTAATTATTTACGGTTGCTCTCCTTAAAGGGGGTCGGTAGGTTTTAAGATTAGCGTTTGATCAATATAAAAATTTCATCATAAACATTTCTCAGTTTTGTATATCCTAAGATAGAGTCTAGTCTATAGATTAGCATGAAAGCCGGTCTGTCTTTGAAATAATAAATGCAATTTCACTGCTGTACAAATAATTTATTTCAATGCATAAGAAAAGAAAAGAAAAAAATGTTTGATTTGCAATTGTAATGCCTTCTTCATACATACACTCAAGGTGCACTTATTTAGTTCCTTTTCCAAAACATTTTTTCATGCTTA